GTTTATAGCCAGTTTGTTTGGATTACACAACCCTAAACCCACCAAATTAAAATAATGAGACCTGATAAATTGGTATAAAATAGGTTTCAAAAAATTATTCTGAAAACAAAAATATGAAAAACTGATTTTTGAAATTTGCAAAAAATGTTACACTTATTGCACTTTTTTCAAAAGTTTCAATATTGCTTGAAATGAAAAAATAAAAATGGGAAAGAGTAGCATGGTATGCAAGGAAAATGATAATAAATGAAAAAAATAAACTCCAGAAATTATTCAGAGCTCAGTATCCAGGTCAAAATGCAAATTGAATTTGATCACACTGCCTTTTCCAATTTATTTTCCACTGTGAGTCTGGTGGATGCCTCACTCCACACCAGTTTAAAACCATCTGGTATTTTTTTTTTTTAAATTTCATTTACTATCATTCCTCCAGCATACCCTACTCCAATTTCCAATTTTTCTTTTTTCATTTGGAGAAATATTAACACTTCTGAAAAAAGTGCAATAACTGTAATCTTTTTTGTAAATTTTAGAAATCAGTTTTTCATATTTTTGTTTTCAGAATAATTTTCTGAAACCTGTTTATACCACTTGCCCAAGTCTCATGAGTTCAAGTTGATGGGTTGGGGTTGTGCAATCCAAACAAACTGGCTATAAACATCTGGGAGGTGACTGTACATATTCTGTGAAATCCTATTGATAATTGATGTACAATGTTTCAGAGGGATTTCACAGTTAATTCTTGAATTTGTATGTATAAAGTAGAAATTAAAATTAAATGTGGCAGTTTTTGCTGTTTTGTAAAGAGATAATACATAGTTTATTTTTATAGTGCCTGTTTAATACAGTCAAGGCAAGATTGTTTTACTTCTCTTACAGAGTGCTTATCCAGACATTCTCTTTGCATGGAGTGACATTGAGAAACTTACCACATTGGAGTGTCATTGAGAAACTCTTTTGCATCAGAGTTTCATTAAGTCACTCTTTGCATTGGAGTGTCATTGAGACACTTGTTGGACTTTGCATAGGGAAATTATAAGATGGTTATAAAAATGTTTGAAGGACTTCTCCTAGGAAATTTGTGGTGCAAAATACCTTAAACTTTTCTTGAACTTTTCTGTTTCCAACAAGTCTTTTCTCACAAATTTAGTGAAAGAATTAGGATAGTGACAACAGATGGTTACAAGATACTTTGAAAAATTATTTGGAAAACTTCCCGCGGGAAAGTTGTGGTGAAAAATAGTTCAAAAAATTTCTTGGATTTTTCTAATTCCGATGAGCTAATTTTTATAATTTTAGTGCAAGAACTGCTAATTATCCACTTGGACCATGGTTAACCTTGGTCCACCCAAATTTTCACTCTTGCTATACTGTATGGGGAGGCACTAAGGCCCCCCCTGAAAGTGCAGCTTTGCAAGCGGGATTCAATGAAAGGAAACATACTTATATCTTATAAAAGTATTGCTGAACCCATATCATATCAATATATATGGTCCTTTCATAGAATTTAAAACTTTTTGGAATCTTGAGACTTTTTGAGATTATAAGACATTTTGAGATATTCAAGCAAAACAAACAACATGAGGGTTAAATAATGAAGGTTTTCTTTTTTCAACATTTGTAGAAAACTAACCAACTAAAAGTAAGCCTCACATTTATGTAGATAGGCTGTGCACAAGGTTGAAAGGAGTGAAGGAATTGCAAAACAACTATGCAGGACAAGTACTGACAAGTTTTGCATTGATTTGAACTGAACAACCAGTTTTAGTGAATTTTCCAGAGGTTTCACTGGAAGCCATGGTTTGATGCTGAAATGCATTGGCCTTCCACAACATCTCAGCAATTCCATCATGCCTATTTGGATCTACTAAGTATTTTAAACTAGGAAATAAAAATTCACCACCAGTCACATCATACTTGTCCTCTAGAGTTTCCAATCTACCATCTTCAGAGAATGTTGGCGCAGAAAGGAAATAATCAAAAGGACTGCTATCACTATCAAGGTGTGATTTGTTGCAGAATTTGGAATGTGTCCAGGTAATGTTTGAACCAAGGATGGTTTCTTTATCTTCTTGATTAGGTCTGGTGATTGATTTCCAATAAAATCATGGTTTGATGCTGAAATGCATTGGCTTCACAACATCTCAACAATTCCATCATGCCCATTTGGATCTACTAAGTATTTTAAACTAGTAAATAAAAATTCACCACCAGTCATATCATACTTGTCCTCTAGAGTTGCCAATCTACCATCTTCAGAGAATGTTGGCACAGAAAGAAAATAAGCAAAAGGACTGCTATCATTATCAAGGTGTGATTTGTTGCAGAATTTGGAATGTGTCCAGGTAATGTTTGAACCAAGGACGGTTTCTTTATCTTCATGTTCAGGTCTGGTGATTGATTTCCAAGAAAATACGGGGACTGAAGTCTTCTGGGCATGTTGATCCGCTCCTGCTTCCCAGGACAGATGGCCTTTGCTTTTGTTTCCGGCACAGGTGAGTCTTTTTGTTTTGGTTTAACAAGAGCCATGATGCAGCTGGCTAGATTTTATCATTTTGGGGTGTTGAGCATGTTAGATCCAAGGATGGTTTGTGGGTGATAAGGCAAGAAGGGAGGAGAAGAAATGCAGGATTGAGGATAGCTTACTTGAATCCAGTTGAAATTTGAGCTTGGTTTTCCTGGACTTGTGGTTGAGATGACCTGTGGAGAGTGACACAAAGAAATAAGAAGGAAAGTGTAAGGTCTGGATATGAAACTAGAAGGAAATTCTAGTACTATTCCTGTCCTAATAAATTTTGTTAGTAATTTTATATTAATTTTTAAAGTTTAAAGTGTGTTTAAACTCACAGAAAGGGGATTGTTGGTTAAACAATCAAAGAAAATTATAACCTCAAAAAATTACTTGTTAAGAGGCCTAGAGTTGAATGTTAATCAATACTCTGAATTCCAAGGGAGGAATTGGGGAAGAGTGAATTGTTTGTTAGACAATAGATCACTAGGAGTTTGTCCAAAGAGGTCTTTTGGAGGAGTTGAGAATTCCTGGGCAATTTCTAGAGCAATACTTCTGCAACAGAAAGTAAGAAATGGCCAATTTTAAAGGAATGAAGAGCTGGGGTCTTTTAAGGGCAAATACTACAGGTTAAGGCTGGAGGTAGCAGTAAAAGAGGAGCTCTGTTCCATGGTTAGAATGCTAAAGTTGATAAGAGAAATGGTTGGAAATGCTGGCTTCAAGTATATAGTAGTATATATGGTGAAGTGGGTGAATTTCTGGAGTTTAAGCACTCAATAAAGGAGTCTTTATATTGCCATACACCTGAGGCTGGCCTACAGTGCATTTTTGCACAATGACACTGATGCTTTGGGCTTGTTTGGCTGGGTGGAAGTCATGCCCAAGGCCTTGGTTATCAGTATCCCAAAGGCTGAAACAGTTGTAACTGTAACCATGGGTACAGCTACCCAGTCAGGAAGTTATATCAGAATCCAATTCTGATTCCAGGACCAATTAAAGAACAATTTATTGAATTAGTCAGAGAAAGACTTAGGACAGGACTCTACAAGAAATTATGCTCCAGTTATTCAAGTCCCGTTTTCTGCATTAAAAAGCAAAATGGAGAATTAAGAATAGTTCATGATTTACAAAAATTAAATAGTGTAACTATAAAAGACTCCGGATTACCACATTCACCAGAAAAATTGGTCCAATCTTTCACTGGTAGAGCCTGTTACAGTTTGGGAGACATAATGGGGGGATACAATGAACAAGAATTAGCCCCAAAATCAAGACCCTTGACTAATTTTGAAACACCACTAGGAAGATTTCAACTGACCAGATTGCCTCAAGGTGCCACTAACTCAGTTGCTGTATACCAAGCTCAAATGACTTGGATCCTGCAGGACAAAATCCCAAATAACATAGGAATATTCATCAATGACGGATGAATAAAAGGTCCAGAATCTGACTATGGAGGGGAGACACTGAAGGAGAATCCCAGAGTCCGTAGATTTATCTACAAATACACTATCACACTGGAGAGAGTTTTATTTAGAACAGAAGTGGGACTCAGCATTTCTGAAAAGAAATTTGCGTGTTGTGTTCCGGAGCTAGATTTAGCTGGACATGTTGTGTGTAAAGAAGGTAGAAGAGTGTCAAAAAAGAAGTTGAACAAGATTGAAACTTGGCCAACTCCACAAAATCCAACTGAAGTTAGGCGTTTCTTGGGTGTTTGTGTTTATGTTTGAATGTTCATCAAAAAAATTTCTAATATAGCAGCCCCTCTCACAAAACCTTTGTGGAAAGACACTAAATTGGACTGGACAGACAAATGTCAAATATCTTTCATGAACAACTCAAGAAAATTGTAGGCGTGGAAATCACATTAAAGAAATTGGATTACAGTGAAGATGCAGGAAAAATCAGATTATCTGTTGATTCAAGCAAAATTGCTGCAGGAGATGTACTCAGTCAAGAAGATTCAAATGGAATGGATAGGCCGGTTCTCTATGAATCTTTGGTCTGTTCACAAAAAGAATCAAGATATTTGCAGTCAAAACTAGAATTATGTGGAGTAAAAAAAGTCCTAAAAAATGCAAAAGGATTAATAAGAATTCAATAGCAACAAGATGATTATAAGATGAAGTAGCTGAGAACAATAGATATGCACAAGAAAACAAAGGGACAGATTGGAAGGGCAAGAAAGAGCAATCAGAAAGTGAAATGATTATAAGATCTGTTGGCCTTGTCCAGAAAGGTGTTGGGTTTGGGGGAGCAGTTGATGAACAAGACAGTCCAGTGCCAACATTTGCTTGAGTAGTGCCAACCAGTGATCCTGCCGGTCCTGAGCCAACATCTTCACAAGTTGATTGGGTGCCCACTGGTGATCCATCTGCTCCTTGAGTTTTTTCATTTGCTCCTTGACTTCATCCTTCAGTTGTTTCAGCAACATTTGCTTGAGTAGTGCCAACCAGTGATCCTGCCGGTCCTGAGACAACGTCTTCTCAAGTCAATCAAGTGCCCACAGATGATCCATCTGCTTCTTGAGTTGTTTCATTTGCTCCGTGACTTCATCCTTCAGTTGTTTCAGCAACATTTGCTTGAGTAGTGCCAACCAGTGATCCTGCCGGTCCTGAGCCAACATCTTCTCAAGTTGATTGAGTGCCCACTGGTGATCGATCTGCTCCTTGAGTTGTCTTGTTTTCTCTGTGAATTCATCCTTCAGTTGTTTCAGCTGCCTGATGACTTCATGTACTTCTACAGTGAAAAGGTAAATAGTTAGCAAGTGAGGTTTCAAATCAGATACAGGCAATGTGCTTTACTGGAGGGTTTTGATTTTGATTCTTGACTGGCAAATGATTGGTGGACTTTTGGTGGGTGACAGTGTGAGTAAAGTTAATATGACATAATGAAAAGGTGTTCAAAAGAAAAGATAAACCTACTAAGAACAAGCAGGACAATGGTAGTGGCAAAGACGCAAATCATTGTATCTAGAAGAGGAAGGAAAAGGTGCAAGGTTATAAGAAACAGGTGGAAACTAAATCATTTTGCAGGAGTGCTGACCGGGTGTGATTTTGGAGAGGAAGTCTGACAGGATCTTGCAGAAAGCAACTTGTTTGTTGTTTTTGATCATGTGGGAAATGAGGTCTAGAGGATGTGTGCCAGGATTGTCTGCTATTTATAAGAAAACTGCCCAATCAACAGGAAGGTGGCAACTGCAGGCCAACCAACAGATGAGCCTGCCTCCCGGGCAGATTGGTCAATTTCTGACATTGGGTTCAAAGATGGAATTGAACTGGTTGGACTGGTCCAAGTTGGCCATCCTTGCCTGCCTTTATATTCCTCCCTCAAGTCAATTCATCAGAAGTCAGGTCTCTTGTAAAATTTTCAAACTAATTCCAAAGCTGAGCCAGCTTAGACCAACAACAAAACAACTTTCTCTTTTTTTTTGGTTCTTACAGCCGGCAAGGGCGTAAAACTGTCAATATGAACAACAACCCTTCATTTTCAGCTTGATCCTCACAGCTTCCAGTCACAACCATCCAGCACAGACTTTGCGAGTGGAGCAACAGAATTAGCAAATAAAAAAACATCCTTGCAAGTAGATGCAAAATGTCTTATTGGCATGATCAACAATCCATCCTTACCTAATGCTCCAATGAATTGTTGGATCATGTAAGGTCTGGATATGAAAATAGAAGGAAATTCTAGTACTATTCCTGTCCTAATAAATTTTTGTTAGTAATTTTATATTAAATTTTAAAGTTTAAAGTGTATTTTAAACTTACAAAAAAAGGGGATTGTTGGTTAAACAATCAAAGAAATTATAACCTCACAATATTACTTGTTAAGAGGCCTAGAGTTGAGTTTTAATCAATACTCTGAATTCCAAAGGAGGAATTGAGGAAGAGTGAATTGTTTTTTAGACAATAGATCACAAGGAGTTCGTCCAAAAAGGTCTTTTGGATGAGTTGAGGATTCCTGGACAATTTCTAGAGCAATACTTCTGCAACAGAAAGTAAGCAAATGGCCAATTTTCAAGGAATAAGGAGCTGGGATCTTTTAAGGGCAAAGGCTACAGGTTAAGGCTGAAGGTAGCAGTAAAAGAGGAGCTCTGTTTCGTGGTTGGAATGCTAAGGTTGGTAAGAGAAATGGTTGGAAATGCTGGCTTCAAGTATATAGTAGTATATATGGTGAAGTGGGTGAATTTCTGAGGTTTAAGCACTCAATAAAGGAGTCCTTATATAGCCACACACCTGAGGGTGGATTACAGTGCAATTTTTCACGATGACACTGATGCTTTGGGCTTGTTTGGCTGGGTTGAAGCCATGCCCAAGGCCTTGGTTATCAGTATCCCAAAGGCTGAAACAGTTGTAACTGTAACCACGGGTACAGCTACCCAGTCAGGAAGTAATGATGCAATGCCAAGTTATTGCTAGGGTTCTATATGCCCAAAGGAGACTTTTTGTTTTGTCTCCAATCCATTTTTAAGGGATTTGGTTGAGGTATTCTGATATGTACTGGCTGAGAACAGGTTAAACTACTTGGGCCAGATTGAAATGGGCCAATTCTCAACCCTATTAATTTCAAACTGGACCAGGGTTATTCTGGTGGATGGCTGATGTAAGAGGATATTCTGAGTTTGCTCAGAAAGTTTATTAAGGTTAGGGATAAACAAAACAGGTTACATGACCAAGTGGCTGGTCAGGGTTCAGAATATGTGGTCTAAACTGGTTACTTGGTTATAGTTGCTGAACTACAAGGTTGTACATGTTGCACAAGCCTTGGAACCTTGTTTATCTTGAGTTCACATCCAATGAACTTTGTTTATGTAATCAGCTGATTTGGTTCTGTAACTTTAAATGTCTGTAACTCTTTAGTTATTGATTATTTTACAGAATTCTTTGTTTTTTGAGTATGTAGTTACACAGTGGTACGTAACTACATGAATTTTGTTTTTATTTTCTAAGTAAAGTAAAAAAGTTTATTTTTATTTTTAAAGGCCTTTGTGGTCATTTGCAGGCTTTTGACCATATACACTTTTATATGTAGATTTTTATGCTTATTATTAATTTATTACTTATAATATTTTTTCTTGGGCTAGTCTTGAGACTTGACTATGAGTTGTAATTGTTATTTTTATTATTTTATATTTTGAGGCCTATGGGTATGTATATACCTCAAGGCTGACAGATGACCTTTATTAAATTGTTTACATTTGATTTAATCCATGTGTTGGGTAAAATTTTCATGATGGCAGATGGATTGTCAAGAAGACCACCGGATATGGGCAAAGAGGACAGTCCAAGCTTTGATGAGGACAAAGAATTGATTAGACCACATCCAGGATTTGGTACAAAAGGAGATTTCTCCGTACAACTGTTGGGGACAACAGCCAAGTTGGGGGAGGGAGTCATGAGCCTACAAGAAGGGGGTTGATAAGCGCATGCCAATCTGCACGCCATTGCAGAATGGCGTGCAGGCAGGCATGCCACTCGCCTGCAAGGGGTATACCCTGCAGGCTGGCATGCCTGCCTGCACACCCAATATGCGGTCCTAAACGCATATTTATATGACACTGCCTCAGCAAGCGGCTCGGACATGCCGGTCCAACAAGTCATCGGACCGGCCTGCCCGAGCAGTTCTCGGACATAGCCAACGGACGAGTTGTCGAACTGGCTTGTCCGAGCTG